GATAGGTTAGAGGCAGCCATAGCTGCCATAGCTATAGTTAGTAGTGAGTGTGTGTGTGTGCTCGAGTGTTAGAGTGATGCGTGTGGGATATCCAGGGTGATCCAGTGTATGTGAACAGTGAGATGTTTGTGTGCTGAGGTCGCCATAGCCAATTGGGAGTGAACTCGTATCTGAAAACCATATCTCTGAGTTTTGAGTGGGCGCATGTCGCCAGTGTGCTGCGTTACTGTTTACATGTGTGAAAAGTGTGTTTGAAAACGAGTCTGATTGCACTTATTAGAATAACGCTGCTTCTCTTTCTTCTACCCCAGCAAAATTGCTGGATGGTAATTGGTGACTTCTGATTCCCAGATCGTCAATTTTTGACGAACTGCCTCCCGCGCCTGGCTATTGGAAAATCGTAGAACTACAGGTCTGGAAGGGCATACTCTAAGCAGCAGGACAAAAGGGTTGAGCGCCTGTAATTCTTCCGGTGGTGAGGTGTTCTATTGCTGTGATCATAGAGTCCTATGGAGGACACCTTTTTTGTTTTCATACTCTACGCATGGCCAACAGAGATCGTACGAAGCGGTCCTAGGTTCAAAACTTACAAACTTCAAAACACTGAAAAGTTGAAAACAGCATATAAAAACAGCATATAAAAAAGAAAACAATTATACTTGCCTTGTATGAGGTTCCCAGTTCAAGGCCTGGCAAGAAACAACAACAAACAACAGCTAGAAACAACAACAACAACAGCAGATTAAGAATCCAATGAAAGCTTGGGGCCGTTCGCAGGTTCAATCCCGCGGCCCCAACATGTCTCTTTTTTTTTTTTTTTTTGCTTTTTTCAAGTATTATACATCATAATGTTGATGTCTTAGTAATTATACTTTGGTCATTAGTTTTTTAAAAACTTCTTTATGATTTTGTAGAGTATGCAGGTGTGTTTGGCACTCTCTTCTTTGGTCGGTTTAGCTTGCTTCGGCAGGCGTTACACGGTGTAATCAGACTTTGCAATTCTGTGGCTGCAGCTACATAGTAGCCAAGAAGAATGGACGCAAGCTTGCGTCTTGCACGTACGTTTTGGCTGGAATGGTCATTTGCATGGTGATGTTGGGGCAGCTTTTTCCCAAGGTGCTGGTAAGCATTCACAACCATCCCAGTACTGGGGGGGACCAGGGAAGGGAGGGAAGAAGAGCCATATGCACTGTGTGACCCTTTCTGCATCTGCATTACTTACTGCTGTGACATCTGTACTCTGGACTAAACACAGAGACTCAGAATGTATGAGCAGGTGGGGAAACACACACACACACACACACACACACACACACACACACACACACACACACACACACACACACACACACACACACACACACACACACAAAGGATGATGGCATTACCGACGCTCAGTCATTTTGCTTGAAACTCTCTTTATCATCAACATGTCTTCCGTCAATATCCATTCTTGATGATTAGATGTGAAAGAAAGAGGATGCTGAATTGACTGTTCAAATTGAGTAGCTGACAAGCTGTCGAACTCTTGTAAATTACTATGTGTGTAGTGCTATTCGCTACTCGAAAGTACGAAGTTGCAACCCTGATCATGATTCTTGAGGCCATCCGTTAAAACTTAAAGCTGTAACGATACCGATAATATTTGCTCAATTCCTGTACAAATATGACACACGCAGTTTGGGTATTGATCCAAATAGAGAGAGAGAGAGAGAGAGAGAGAGAGAGAGAGAGAGAGAGAGAGAGAGAGAGAGAG